CTAGCCTCAGTCGACCGCAGCGTGACACCGTGGCTGCTCGTCGGCGGCCACCGGCCCTGGTACACGACGGGCGGTGGCGGGTGCGACCCCTGCCAGGCGGCCTTTGAGCCGCTACTGTACCAGTACGGTGTGGATCTGGCCATCTTCGGCCACGTGCATAATTCGCAGCGGTTCCAGCCGGTCTACAACAATATGGCGGATCCTAAGGGCATGAACGACCCGGCGGCACCCATGTACATCGTGGCGGGCGGCGCGGGCAACATCGAGGGCCTCAGCTTCGTCGGCAGCAACCTGTCGTTCAACTCGTTCGCATATGCTGATGATTTCAGCTACGCCAAGGTCAGCTTCCTCGATCCCAACAACTTGCAGGTCGACTTCATCCGGTCAGCTACCGGCGAGGTGCTGGATACTTCGGTGCTGTATAAGTCGCACACGGAGCAATTTGTCGTGCAATAATCCAAGGCGCATAGAAAATAGAACTCCCAACGTGTGAATACAGATATGAATCCTGACGTGTCTTCTATTTTTCGTTGGACTGTATGAGCCAGCCCCTGAATTATCCACCATTTTTAGCAACTCCCCAGCTCATAATAGCTTGCCGACTAGAAAAAGGCCAGTGTGAAGAGGAGCTTTGATGGTAACTATTAAGGCAGATACCCAAAAATCGGGTTCCGCATAGAAGAGCCCATGACCAGATTAGGAGATAAAATAAGCTTTCATGTTTTTTTGGTAGGTTTAAATATCCATTTACACAGTACCAGTCTATTATCATCTGATTTGGAAGGAACCTTATTGGCCTTTTTCCAGTGGCAGTAATTGCACAGGTTCACCGTGCTCTAAGCTCTGCCGAGTAGCCCAGAGGTTTTCAATCCACCCGAGGTTTGCTCGACTGATGAACCATTAAAGCGGTGTCTACTCTAGAGAGTCTCGTAGTCACGAGTGACAGTGGAAAAATACTAGGCCTAGACACTTTGGACCTGCCAGGTATTTTCCACAATCGCAATCGTCCAGACAGTCTCTTGCTCCCCACACACTCAATCAACCTGTCTGAATACCTACAACTTCAACTTAGTGGGTCCCCTCTCAGAAGGTACTTGTTAAACAATCACACCTCGACATCGACATCTCAACAATTCAATTCAACCCGACCAAAAACACTTGATCCGACAGCGACCAGCATGTCTACAGCGCAGGGATCCTTTCTGCAGCGTCTCCCTCTGGAGCTGCGATGGCACATCCTCGAATCGATTTCGGACGTGCGCTCGCTCGCCTCCGCCGCGCTGACCTGCCGCGCCCTGTACTCGGCCTTCAAGGCGAAGGAGGACGATCTCCCCTCGGCCGTGCTCGCCAACTGCGTCGGGCACGAAGTGCTCCGCGAAGCCGAGATCGTCCACCAGTGCTGCCCGCCGTTCCTCAGCACCCCCGTCCGGACCACCTCTCCCGTGGGGGAGCCGCTCGACGCGGAGCAGTCGCGCCAGGTGCACCTGTACGCGAAAGGCTTCATCCGGCACCTGAAGCGCCGGACCGTGCCCACCCCGAGGAGGTGGAACATGAGCTACGCCCTCGCCTTCGCCGACTACCACCTCCGGGTCGTCGTGCCTCTGACGCAGGCATTCGTCGAGGCGTGCGCGTCGGAGCAGCTGTCGTTCCCGTGCGTGGACCTGGACGACAGCCTGCGGGCGCGCCCCGCGACCCGGCGCGAGGAGGAGCGCGTCATGCGCGCGCTGTACCGCTTCGAGCTGTTCCGCAAGCTCTTCGGGCGCTACAGCGACGGCATAGAGCACATGCCCGGCGGCGCGGTAGCGGTGCCCTACGCCCACAACTTCTTCAAGCGGTTTGCGCCCTGGGAGATCGCGCAGCTGGCCGTCATCCACGACTTTCTCGGCCAACAGGTGATGCCAGGTATGTACCAATCAATGCGCTCGATGGCCCCGTCGAATGCCGGCGGCACACGTTTGACTGACTAGACGACTAATCCGCGTCTACTGTAGCGTTTGCCGACATCGCGGAGCACGACATCCAGTGGGCGGCGTTCGCCGTAAATTTCAACACCCCCTGGAACCGGCGCGTCGACCACCCGGCCATCCAGCACCTGCTCACGCTAGGGCTCCAGCAGATCCTCCGGATCGCCTCGTGCTACACGTTTAAGAGCCGAATCCGAGAGGTGCTGGGCAGGACGGAGAACGTGACGGTGGAGAACCACTTGTTCTTCGACGTCGCTCTTCGTTTTAGCGACGGGCTAGACCGGACCACGCACGGCAAGCGCTTGCTGCACGGGAAGCCGTTCCACGTCGACGGCGACACGGGCCCGCGGACGTTATGGACGATGACGTTAGGGGCGGATCGGTCACCGTTCTACGATAGTCGCGACTGGCTCGACCGCCGATGGGGTTACGTCATGTGGGATTGCGAGCGCCTCCGGGAACTCGGGGTTCTCGATCACGCGTGGAGCCGTGCCGACGCGCCGGAACAAGGACTCCCCCTCGAGAGTATAACATGGACATTGGAACAAAGACGGAAGCTTTGGCACCAGGGAGGCAGGGGATACTGGGCGCTTTACGACGAGTCGCGCGTCGTGTACCCCAATGGAAGATGTGCGTTCGAGACCAAGGAGACCGAGAACACTGAGAGCACCGAGGCTGACACCATGACTGTCACGATCACCGAGAAGCAATCGACCTCGGATACCAATGCCACGCGTGGAAGAAGCTGGTTCCGTCGCATGGCGAGAAGAATCCTTCGACGTTAATTTGGCGGAGGGTCCAGCATCAGAGAACATGGAGACAAGCATACGTCTCTAATAGACCTGTATGTAGGTGGTCAACAGACCCGTATTGCAGAGAGATTCTCAAGAGATAGAGCGCGCGATTTAGCAACAGAGACACATCATGAAAACAGGACCTTACAAGTCGTGATGCAAAAACTTTTTTGTTTTGAACATTCTAAACCCTAATAATATATGCAAAGTTGAGTCACCCCGTATCATAACGCAACAGCAGCGCCAACGAAGCCAACGGCCAAGGCTGCCACGGCGCGCAGGGCCGTCTCTCTAGCTCCGGCATTCTGGGTCGGTGTCGCGGAGGAAGATGTGCTGCTTGCGGCACTGTTCGCCGCGTTGCTGGCCGATGCCGTGGGGTTGCCAATAGTTGACGTCGTCATCGAAGAAGATACAGCATCAGAAGAGCCCGCCGTAGAAGTTACCGTCGTAGCGCCCCCGACCTTCACCGTAGCGCTACTAGAAGACGAAGCAGTAATAGTCGACTTGCCAGTCGTGGTCGTGGTCGCATCCTCCGTAGTAGTAGCCTCCACTTTGCAAGCGCCGGCAGAGAAGCTCGAGTAGACAGTCAGCAGCTCGGCGAGCTGGCTAGTAATAACGCGAGGCGGGGCGCCCATGTCGTCGGAGCAGGTAGAGGCGAGCGCGACGAGGTTCGAGCTCTGCGCGGATAGGTACGAGTACATGTCTAGATTATAGGAAGTGAAGGCCGAAGCCTGGGCTTTGGGCAGGGACGAGCCGAAGTCGCACAGCCCCGCCACCCCCGACTCGGCCAGGCCGCCGTTGGCATCGTCGTTCAATGCGTCCTGTAATGCCGGTGCCGGCGTCGGGACCGCGCCAGCCCACGACTGGATCCGCGACAGGCACTCCGGCGAGCTCGTCTCTTCCGTGTCGGAGGTGGCTGTAGTCTTGCGCGGGAGCAGCGCGGGCATCTGAGCACATGCGCTAGCCGTTAGCGCCGCGAGGAGGAGAGCCTTGGTATACATCATGTTGTTGTTATTGTTGTTGTCGCAAAGGAATGTGGTGGCCAGGAAGAGCGAGATGCCTAGCTGACGTTATGAGAGCGCGGATATATCCTGTCACCGTAACAAATGGGCCATGAATTTTGAAATCGTCTCGGACTTGCAGTACATGCTGGTCAGGTAAGAGCAGCAGCACGTCGGTGAGTCGCCAGCATCTCGAGAAGGCTCACGGGCTGCTTTATAAGACAAGTTCAGCGCCCCCTTAATATTGCCAAGGATGGTATGCGCTATGATGTATTGGGGTATGGTCCTTGTTCAGGGGTCCGCTATGCCGGGATTGCAGCCGGGGTCGGCTCCAAGCCTCTGTAGCTTCTGTAGGAGCTAGGCTGCACTTTGCATCTTGGGCCGTGGATTTCTATTTTAAATGTACCTATCCAAGCCTGTTCCAACTTCAGTTTACATCAATGAATTCCATGAGCGTCATATATAGCGACAACATACCTCTCACTGATCGAACCCTGATTGTGAAGTCTATTACAACTCGGAATTTTCAAAAATAGTTACCCGTCTTTGTGCTTAGATGCCGTAAGCGACCCCTTCGCATTACCGAAGATATTTCTCATGAAGTTGACCCCGGCAACTCTCGTCCAGGTTCCTAGGCGGGTTGGCCCACTTGCGCTGCCACGAATCCATCAAAACCGAAATGAGAAGCCCAACATGGCCAAAATTGAATCCTCATGGTAAAAATAGCGTCCACTCAGCGATCTCTTGCTGTTGGTCATATGCTGTGCCGCCAATTCCTTTCAGAACGTCATGGTGAGCTACAGATCTTGTAGATCAATGGCAAAATGAGGTCATCAGACACACCAACAAAAGACTTGCGCGCATGATAATACATGACAAGCTGGCTTTTTCGTCGGGTTGGGGTGCTCTTGGGAGTTTCCCTGATCCGCAGCAAGGTATTTAGAAATTCTAAACTGTGCTCTCCTGATGCGACATTTTACTGTGCGGGGGACGGTAAATTGCATAACTGCCAAGACCCCAGATCGTAAGCGGCTGTCGGAGCAGGGGCTTCTCACGTGGCACAAGACTTACCGTTCATTTAATAGCAAAATTTTTCAAAATCTAGGTTTTTTAGGTAAGCCATCGGACTGTAAAATCTTGACTCACACGGCGAACCAAACCCGGAAAATCGAGGTATTACACCCATTAGCCCTCATGAGGAATTGAGAACATGTTTTAAGCAAAATTAAACCCAAAAGGAAGGGCTTCGCCGGGACTCGAACCCGGGACCACTCGCATTTGGAGCTTGAGGGTTTACCCTAAGCGAGTATCATACCGCTAGACCACGAAGCCAACTTGTAAGTTATATGAAATTCTTCGATCTAATTAATAATTATATAGTTTTTTGAATAATGGGGCATCTTTGTTGCCTAGCCACGGGATGAATCAATGGACCAATTAATCACCAAGTGGACGGAAAGACATCACAGTAGGTTAGACCTATCTCTACATACCTGGGTACATAATGTAAGGTTATCATATCATACATATAATCTCGTCGTACGCATCTTGTATCCCATGCTGTAGCCATGGCTTTCCGCGCGAGAGGGCTGACCCAGTTGCGAAGATAAGCCTACTCATATGATAACAAAATCGCTTCTTGAGGCGGAAACAACGTCGTTGTTGCGTGAATAGCTAGGGGCCGTACACAGGCCTTCGTCCTCCGAACCCAGCCGGACTAACACTGCTCCCAACCTTGGCCACCACTAATCATCCCGCCCTAGGGGTCAGGGGCCGAAAAGCTAGAACTTAACAACGGAGAGCCAAATACGGTCCCTTTGACGTGCCTCTCAAGTGCTCGGAAACATACAAAAATGTGTAGAATGTTTAGGTCGTCTTGACCGAGGGGAATCGATTTGTAAAGAGATATTCGTAACAGTAGCAGGCTTTCTCGAATTTACAAATTCGGTACGCTACAGGGCCAACTATGGTGGTTTTAAGAAACTTCACAAATTTAGGTAAAAGAAACTATTCTTTTCGATGTAAAGTACGGTAGTTTAAATCATAGGTTTCGATACTAAGAGCTATCTAGTAATGTCTAGGGTTTACGAGGCTCTATTGTCTCATTTATAAATAACAAATATATAGCGAACGATCTTCTTATTCTTATGATAGTTTACACGGTCAATGTCTAAGACTTACACAACTTTGGGGGCCTATCTATCCGATCTTGCCAGTATAATTACCTAGCTAAGCATGGCCTGGCTGGTTATTCAGCTAGTCACATTCATCAAACATAAGAACTAACCCGGTTAAAAAAGTCTCAGTTTCCACATACCCGAAACGGTTCATGGAACGTTGTCAGAAGGGAAGCACACCAATGCAGTTGTAGCTACTAGAACCAACTGCTAGGCCACCCACTCGCTATCTTGACTTAAAATATGGTTTACTAAAACACTCCAGCACGTCTAAGGGGGGCTTAATAAGAGTCGAGTACGATGGTTTTATATTTGCTATTATAAGGTGCCTAACGTAAAAAGGTGCCTAACGTAAAGCTGGTAGAATAACATTCAAGGAGACACTGTTAGAACATTCTACATTATTAGCTAGGAAGTATATCCTAAAGATACCTCACATACCAAAACGGCTATACGTCTATCGTAAAAACACCAAAGGGAAAGTACGCTGGCCCACGAACACGGAGATGGTGTATACCATGTAAGCCACGTTGCGAACGATCGGTCGAGGCAGAGGGTTTGGTACAAGACGTATCTGGGTAGTTGTATTCCAGTCAGAGAATCCACGGGTGATGGCTGAGAGGTTTTGATGCCATGAAAATGTCTGATTCTCTCTGCACGGAATTGTAACATTGAGAACAGGCAAGGCAGAGAAGATTCCTTAAGGAAATAATCCAAGGTTGGTCTTGATTAAGGTGTTGCGTGTGGGAATTCTGATGATATACAATACACCCGTCTACAGGTAGACATATGAGCAAGCTTCACTTTCATTGTAATGCCGGAAAGGGGGCATAGCAAGTTCACTGAATCGAAGGAGTAATCTAATCACTACATGGTAACAACGTATCACAGTTGTGTCTAGACATCGTCCACGGAAGACTATTTCTTATGGATGAAACAAGCGAGTGTATTCTTCTAGTTTGATGAACGACTTATAACTCCCACCTGTTCGACCCAGTCCTAGCATTCTATTACACGGTCCTCAGATCCCCCAAGCCACTCGCTCCGTTCAAACCGAACCACAGCCCGGAAAGTAAGGCAGCTCGTTCTACCTTCATGGCGGGGGCGCATGGCCTGTTCGCGGATTTTCTCATTAAAGTCACTGATGTCGCAGAAGTCCATTCCGAGCCGTTTGAGCCTATTAAGATCGTGAGAAGAATGATCTGCCCCAACTCTCTGTATAAAAGCATCACAATCATTGACAGCGACGGTGACATTGCCACGGCTGCCTCCAAATAGTCGCGTCTCGAGAATAGGGTCCCTCATTTCCGGTAGTCGGTACGTGTACGCGACATAATCGATGGCTTTTAGCCGCGGGAAGACGTCTGGGTTGCTCAAGTAACGTAGCAGGGGCCACTCTTCGATAGCTGGGTTGAAATTTAGAGTTATATGCTGGGCGCTTTCGGCGATGACTTCAGCTACGTCTGTGGACTTGTAGGATAAGACGAGACTATCTCTACTAGGATCGAACCAACCCCAGCCATTCATGCGCGGCTCAGGGTGAGGTTCTTCGTTACCACAGTCAGACTCAGATGTTTCATCGCCAGAGCCAAGCCCGAAGGGAGTCGCAAATAGTAGTTTGGGTCGTCTGGTCGGCACGAGTCGACCATAGCGACATGCTACAGCTCGGGATTCCCGACAGATCTGTGCTGTCACGGGTGGGGTGCACCTTATAAATCCGTCTTCTGTCAACCTTTGGGTCGACAACCTAACGAACCTCGGACGGATGGCATAGTCCCAGATCATCGCTCGGATCTCAGGAGGGAGGCTTTTAAACCGGGGGAATCGACATCTAGAATCAAATAAGTTGCGCAACGCCTGAATGTCTGCTCGAAGGCTCTCCGTTCTGGTGTCATGATCGTCAAGGGATCTAACACTGAGTGCCCCGAGGACTTGTCGTTCGAGAAAGTCGACCTGTTTCAGCGTGATCCATTTCGGGTTGTCTTCATTAGCATGAAGATTAGTAGGCCCGTCTCTGACATATATAAGTTGATCCTTCAACGATGCCGTGTCCCATAAGTATCTTCCGGATCTGTCGTAACATTCGTCCAGATCCTTACATGCATCTGCAATTTCGCCAAGTATATCCTTGAAGCTCTTTAGCTGGTGGCCATCATAGTGAATGACTTGGCAGGCCATTTTGTCTGGTGGCTTCGCGACTGAAAAAGATGGAAGAATATAGAAATATAGGTTGCTGAGTTGAAAATGGAAACGAGACACTCTTCTATTTAAACAATTGACTGGAAAGCGAAAAGCAAAAAGCCAATGCGCCACTGTCCCGTGAATCATGCAGCCACTGAATGTCCTACCCCCGAAAGTCATGACCTTGCTCCGAGGTCCCAGTTTGATTGGGTGAAAGAGCTTCTAAAGCGACATACAGTGTGTTGATTTTCACCGTAAACATACATCACAATACGGTGCACCTTTCGCTACCTACCTATATACATAGGAGGATAGGTAGCACGAGATTGTGAATTGTCTTCATCTAGAGTACCTAGGTACATACGTATACAGATAAGAGAAATTCAATGTGTGAATGTAACGACCGGCGGTAAGAGGCGAAGATCCTCGAGGCTTAGAAGCTCTCCCATGCTTCCATAATCGGCGTCAAAGTTATTACTCTAGAGCATATGATAGAGGAGGACTCGACTATAGAAAGCGCACTGGAAAGACCAGAAGTTCGCTCAAGCCCACCCACGAAAAATAAGCTCATGTACAATTAATGAAGAAAGAAGAGAAGAAGAAAAACATTTGGCAGAAATTTCGAAATTGAACACAACAGTAAGGTGGGGCTGTCGCGCATGCAGTGGTCAAAGCGTTCTGTTTTAGTTTACTTTTGCAAGTAACCAGATTATGCTTCTTTCGTGGGTTGGTAGCACCATATAATTAAGATGGTTAACTACATAATGCGAGCTACGACCTACGGCCAATCAAAGCGAGGCTGAAAATAATCGCGGATTGAATCGCACTAGCGCCACTCGATGACCGTCCAATAATTCCCGAAGCACTTCCTCAAGAGACGTCAACGCAAGGTCCTTCCAATTGACCGCCACCCCTCCGCCCTCATCTTTTTCCTTGATACCCCCCCGACTCCGTCGAGACGACACGATGCTTCGACAATCTCTAGCTCGTTCGGCTTGGCGGACTGGCAGACATGCCGCCGGCTCGAGGGCCTTCTCTGCGACAGCTCGGCGGCCGGCAGAGGTGGAGCTTACCGTTGGTGAGTCTTTTGGCAAATCTCTACCATTGAAGGGTCCGACATGGTTGCTGATATTCGTATAGACGGAAAGAAGGTATCTATTGAAGGTACGAAGCCCATTTACGCCTCAGCTGCGTGGTTGGGCCGCTTTGCTAATTAAGCCCGCAGCTGGATCCGCATTAATCCAAGCATGCGAGAAGGCCGGCGTAACGATTCCCAGGTCAGTCTATTGGAATATTGGAATATTCGAATTGTTATGGTGAACTGATCGCTAACATTGTATAGATATTGCTACCATGAGTACGAATCCTGCCCTCTCGACCGCCCCCGTATTCGCCCTCGATGCTAATAAGACGGAACAGGAAGTTGATGATTGCTGGAAACTGCCGTATGTGCCTAGTCGAAGTCGAACGCGCACCGAAACCCGTTGCATCGTGCGCCTGGCCGGTACAGCCCGGCATGGTGGTGAAGACGAATTCGCCCCTCACACATAAAGCCCGCGAGGGTGTAATGGAGTTCCTGCTGGCGAATCACCCGTTAGACTGCCCTATCTGCGATCAGGGTGGCGAATGTGACCTTCAGGACCAGTCCATGCGATACGGCGCCGACAGAGGCCGGTTCCACGAGATCGGTGGCAAGCGTGCGGTGGAGGACAAGAATATCGGACCCCTAATCAAGACCTCGATGAACCGATGTATCCACTGCACGAGATGTATCCGATTCGCGAACGATATAGCGGGTGCCCCCGAGATGGGTTCCTTCGGACGAGGAAACGACATTCAGATCGGCACCTACTTAGAAAAGAACCTGGACTCCGAGATGTCGGGCAACGTCATCGATCTTTGCCCCGTCGGAGCCCTCACGTCGAAGCCCTACGCCTTCCGAGCCCGTCCGTGGGAACTGAAGAAGACCGAGTC